GCCTGGCCATGTATATGTCTGTTCCATCCATGGCTCACTTCAAGCTTCATTCTTATGTTGAACTATCTAGAGATTCATTCAGACAATTGAATGTAGCACTATAACAGTCTCTTAATGCCTTATCAACCACCAAGTCCAGGGACAATATGGCCAATAAAATAAGTTCACACTTACATGTTTGCTTTGTGGAAATTCTCCTTCTTGGTAATTTATCCTATTCTTAAGCAAAGAATAATCATACCTGACTGTGAGGAGCAAAGATACATCGCCACTGGCATCCCTAGTCTCATGTGATTCTATACACACTGTCGTACAATATCAATCATACTTTACAGATATAATTTCCTAACTCCTCCAAACGTATCTCAGACCATTTCAGGAACCTCACCCTCAAGTCCTGCAATATAAAAATAGTGAACATATGGTAAGGTAGCAAACGTAACAAGTAGAGATGTGTATTATAGAATGACCCACCTTGATGCTCCTTATCTAGGGAGTTCACAAGGTGACCAGCTAATTTCACATAAGCTTGCACATTTGATACTAGACATACCAAATGAAGACAGAATCCATGTCAAAGCCTTGGGTTGACCATGCTTTAACCTCTGGTGTAGAAGGACTTCTACTATAGTCACAATAATTTATTGTCATTTTACAGTAAAGCTAAGTTATAGCTTAACATTCACTAAGGATTTACTAAGTGACAAAACCTGCTGTATTAGCTGTGTGTATGTGAGGAGGTGTATACACATAGTTAAGATGATGTCTCTTCTCTAGGAACTCATAATAAATCCTAAAATATACATAATATCAATGGTCAGAAAATAATATCCTGATAGCAGGCTGTGATAATAATCGCACAGTTGCTATAATGGAGATATACACAGAATGCTGTTAGAGCACAGAGGAAAGAATTAATTCTTTCTTAGGTCTCGAGATCAAGAAATGCTTTGAGGAAGACGATGAATATGAGCCGAATCTGTAGGATTGCTTGAACTTTGACAGGCTGTTGAGGGATGAGTGGTCTGGTATGTCAGGGGAGGGAGATGGAGAATGGAGGGAATGGGTGCCTCTTGAGTAAAGGGAACAAACCAAACAGTGTAAGTTTCCTCTTTCTGACTGCCACGCATTTTTAACTTTGTAGAGGAAATGGAAGAATCTATTGAACCAATTGTTTTGGCTGTTCTGATGTGATCACAGCGTTGCTTATGTGGATTGTCAAATAAGGGATGAGCTCATAAAAGAATATTAATGTGTCATTTTTATTGAGCAAAGTAGCATTACAGAAAAGGTGATTTCAAAGGCACATGGATCTTTCATTATAGCCTTCAGGGGCGATGTTTGATCACTGAAAACAGGCTGCTTTGTTCCAGTTTCCTCTGATGTCTGGCATTATCCTGAATACATATGCTCTGACTTGGAAAGAATCAGTCTGGAAAGATTTAATAGATTTGAGATTCGCATATTCAAAATACATGTCTTGTGGTTAAAATGAAACGAAAACTATTTTAATGTCTATACCTACATATACAAAAACGTAGTTCAGATACACATCTCAGAAAATTTTTAAAAGGCAATTACACATAATATATGTGCTTGTTCTGAGATTATGAAAGTTGGCTATTTTTAAAATTAACCATATTTATTTTCACTGAGGAGAAAATATGTTTTAAGGGACATCATATTGATGATAACAAAGTACAAGAATCCTTCCAGTTTCAGGCATTTGAGATTTGCTGGATTTTCTTGTCACCTATCATGGATACCACTTTTAGTGTTGGGCATCGCTGCCCACACTTTATTCAAAGTGAATTAACAGCTTTCTTGCTTGGAGAAAATTAGAAGTCACAAATAATTAAAGATAAATATTAAAGATTAGCATTTGCATGAGGTTCTTTTTCTTTTAAGACTGAAAGAAATGATTTTCTTTTTTCAAAAGGAGAAAGATGCTTGGAAAGAGAACTGAAGAGTCAAAAGCTTTTTGTGTGGTGACTAAAACTCACAGTATTTTCTCTCCATAGAATTCTCTGGCTTCTATTCCCTGTGAATTGATGTGTAATCTCACATAAATTCATCTTTTAATTTGGAATTCCAAAGGAACCTTTGAAAGAAAAATGGCACACCAAGTCAGTCAGTTTGATATACATTACGTCTACAATTAGACGCTTATTGCATTGAAATTAAGCCAAACAGACTTCAGCTGAAACGGGATAGGTTAAATTACATTCTATTTCGCGTGACAAAGAAAAATCTCACCATGTCACTTTCTTGTTTAAAATTCTTCCCTTCCCCTGTCCCCATGTACAACACCCTCCACCTCAAGGACACTGAGTGCTTCCTTTGCCTGGCCTGTCCTTCCTTCTATGGTTAGTTTTGCAACAATCTCAGAACAGAAACTATTTCAGTTACACATTTGTTGCCTAGACCAGTGCTTTTCAAACCTTAATGTACTTATGAATCATCTGGGGATCTTGTTAAAAATGCAGGTTCTGATTCAGCAAGTCTGGGGTCTGGCCAAGATTCTAACAAGCTCCCAGGTGATGTAGCAGACCGCATTTTGGATAGCCAGCACCCAGATACATATGACCTCTCATTAAATTGGTATTAGTTCCTGGTCCCTGATAACTGAAAATGTAGATTCTCTGACTTAGGTTGCTTCAGACTCCAATTGGCTTTTTTGGTCATTGGTAATTTCATAAAGACGCGGCATGATCTGGACTCTTTCTACTTTGCTAGTCTGCTTTCTTACCACTTCCCCTTTCTTACTTTACATTTGAGGTGTAAGAAACTACATAAAGTTTCCAGATTGTATCAGGCTCTTTCGCATCTCTGTACCTTTTCAAATACTATTTCTTCTGCTTGTTCTAACATCTTGTGATGGTTCCTTTAAAACCCGGCTCAGTTGTCATCTCCTCGAGGAATTCTTCTCTAATCTCTTTCCCATGTAACTGCCTAATTAAATGTTTCCAATACACTCTCACAATGCCCTGTATTTCCTATATCACAACTTTCTCATAATCTGTTGCAATTTTCTGCAAACTTGTCTGTTCCCTTCAAGACAGTGCTTCTGTGGGGGAAGAGATTATACATTTTGTCTCTGATACCTATTGCCAATCAAAATGCCTGACACATAGTAGGTTTTCATGAAAGTTTACTGAATGAATGAGGAAGGGAGGTTGACGTAATTATGCAAAAATATAATGTAATATTTTCTTTCCTGAAGCTTAAAATTGAATTGGGAGTAATGAAAACTAGAAGTCATAAAAAGTTAAGCACAGGATGAGATAATACTGAAGATGTAAAATGTTAGTATGTGATTAATTGCCAAATGAGGATCGTAGAAAATAACTATTCTGAGTTCATTGGAGGAAAATGTCACTACAGATTTATTACTCTTTTTTAATATCCCAATTTGTTCCACAAAGCATTTGAGATGGCTGACAACACTATGTATTGGATTTAACGAAAAGTATGAATACACGTGTAGTGAAAAGAATAGCATGGAAAAAGGAAGGAGTTATGGACGTTTATACTTAAAACTTGAGGAGTAGATATATTAGCATGTCTGCAAAATGGTCTCCATTAAATCATGGACAGTAAGGTTGGTGGCTGGATTTTCATTTCCACTCTCTTCTTGGGAGGCTTATTTCTTCAGGGGCATCAGCAGCTCCCTTGTGCTCTGGCTTCTGGCTGAATTTGGCCAATGGGGTGCCCTGGCAGAGGATCAAATGGAGGGAGAAGGGTGAGGTCAGGACATTTATATTCTTGCTTTGCCTAAAACCAACTGTGCCTCTGGGTAAATTGCCCCTTTGTTAAAACCTCCTCAAACTATTCTCCTTTGAGTGTGCCCCTGCTCCCTGTTGAGACAGATACAATCACAGAGTTCTTTAAAGCTAGATTGGATGCTGGTTTTAATAACTTTTCTGATAACCGTTAATGCTCTAAAAATGTTTTAGGTGCCTGCTATATATCAGGCAAAATTCTGTGACGAGGGGGCTCAATAGACAAAAATTCAGAAAGCAAACCAACCTGAAATCTTGTGCTCATATTGTTCCTGTTTTAGCGTAGTAAAGAGGATATAAATCATATTGGAGGTAAGGAAAAATTGGTATATTTCAACCGCTATAGTTCTGTAACATTTATGTACATCAGCCTTTAGTTTACTGTTCAGTTGTAAAGTGATAATATCCCAGAGATGTAGTTTTCCGGTTGTTTCTTTTTACTAGGGATGGATTATCCAGAACTTTTGCCTTTCTTCTTTCCCATTGCTTACTTTCTGGTTATTTCACTGCTCACCGTTCTTCCATCAGGAGATATAAAAAGGAAAACAAATGGCTGAAAAGCTTAACTTTAGCATCTATGATAAAAAATTTGTTAGGAAGGAGACTGCTATTCTGAACTAAAATGAAGCTTTTCAGTTTATCTGGGCTGGTCTGCCCCCTACTGCCGTAAAGATTTTGAGAGTTGTTTCCAGCTTGTCAAAAATCAAGAAATAAAATGGACAAAAGGCCTTATATTCACGACGATGAATAGAACAAGGTCTAGTAAACAGATATGATGAACCCTGGTGTGTAAACTGTCAGGCTTTAGATCTTGGATTGTATTACAATCTTGTTTGCAGTACTTACTTAGATCATTGTTGACTCATACGAGCCTCATTCTGTGACCCAGCAAAAATAGATCATAAATCCCAGCAGGGGAAGACATGTTTGTAGTTTGACCTTGGAAAGATGAGCTAAAGGTGCTGAGAAAACCATAAATTCTATTTACTCTAATAACAAAAATACGATTGTTTATATTTTGCCCAGTGGATGAAGTGCAAATCTAATATTTTTCCTGGGACGTGTTGTACATTTTGCCAAGGTTGATTAAATTCCTATTAAGTAGGTAGCTAAGAGAGAAACTGAATAAAATACTTCGTATGAGGCTTTTGACTCCAACTTGGTTCTTCACTATTGAATCCTTTTTGTAAAAGCTCCTTTTACTCCTCTTTTTTGCAGGTTCTATTTATGAAATGTTTGGAAATGAATGCTGTTTGTCAACAGGAGAAGTGATTAAAATTACTGGCCTCAAAATTAAGAAGATCATAGCTGAAATCTGTGAGCACAGTGAAGGTTCTGAGTCTCCACAATCGTTCGAACTGCCTATGAATTTTCCAGGTACACTGTACTGTCACCATTCCTTATTTGCAAAACTGTATTGTTAATAGATATAAACATCCATACAATGGAAAACAATGAAAAAGTGGTCTTCTTTTTTTAATTCTACAGCAGTGAGTGAAAAAAATCAGAATTCTTATAGTTCAATGATTTTAAGGACTAATAGAAGGCAAATATTTTTCCCCCTTAAAAAACATCCTTTATATAGGACTTAATCTTTTCTGTTAACAAGTATTTAGTGGGTTCCAACTATATGCACCGCTAGCTGTGTGCTACGTAGTGGGAATGAAGAAATTAGAGGTATACTTTTGTAAGTTATGCAGAACGAATTAATATCTCTTAAACATATCTACCTTCTTTACTCTTATTTCATTATTTTGGCTCCCTGGATCAATGCTAAACTTACCTGTCCGATCTTACTGGCGAGTTGGTTTGCTCTTATTTGCCTGGTTAACTCTACTCAGTCTTCCAAAATTAGCTCAAATATTATCTCCTGGAAAATTTGCTGACCCTGTAACCTATTCTAGATATTCTAGATTTTTTATGTTCCCATAGTATCTTGGGCACCATAGTTGTTGATGATTTTCTTGTTTTTCTTATTCTCTAGACCACGTGTTACCAAAGTTTTTAAATAAAGGAGCAGGTAGTAAATATTTTAGATTTTGCCTCCAGACGGTCTCCATCACTACTCCTCTTTGGTGTTGTAACATGAAAGAGACTATAGATAATACATAAACCAATGTGCATGGCTGCGGTTCAATAAAAATGTCTTTATAAAAGAGATGGGCAGCAGAATTTGGCCTGAGAACTGTAGTTCGCCGACCTCTGCTCCAGACTAAAACTTCCTGACAGATAAAATATGACATATCTGCCTTTGTGTTTCCAGTCCCAAGCACATTTTCCGGCACAGAGAATGTGCTCATTAATTATTTATTGAGTGAATGAATGAATGATTAGTGGAAGAGAAAAATCTAGTAAATATTTACACTATAATGTGATTGATGGTATGATTGAAGTATTCATGGGGTCTATGAGAGTCTGGAAAAGGAACATCTTACTCCAGTTGGTCATGTTTCAGAACATGGATTTTGGAGTCATTATATTTGAATCCCAACTCTGCCACTTCTTAGTTGTGTAACCTTGCCGATTTATTCACTCTCCTCTCACTTGAAATGGCAACAATAATATTATCTATCCTCTAGTTTTGTTGGGAGGATTAATATTGAAATATGTTTAAAGTGATTAGAATGGTACTTGTTACATAGCAAGAGCTATAAAAAGTGTCAGCTTTTATTACCATTATTATTATCATCATCAATGGAGTCAAGGAGAGCTTTTCAGAGAATGTTATACTTGATGTGAGGTTTGGGGAATGAAATAAATTAGCTATATGAGGAGAAGATTCTCCCAAGTGCTCCAGTATCTTCCCCCTTTCAACTGAAATCTTATTCATTGTTCAATTCTAACTATTCCTGACTCACCCCCATCCTTTATAGCAATGGTACTCAAACTTGGCTCCCCATTGGAATCACTTCAGTAGTTTAAAAAAATCCTAATGCTCAGACCTCTTGTCTAAGATATTCTGATTTGTTTGGTCTGGGATTAAGTCTGGTTATCAAAGTTTCCTAAAGCTCCCAGGGTGATAAGAATGAGCAGCCCATGTTGAGAACCATTGCTTTAGAAGAAGCTTTTCCCAAGTACTCTAATTGGATGTAACAACTCTCTTTTGAACCACTATAGTCTTTCATGCTTTAATCATTGCATTTATTACATTTTGCAAGTAATTGAAGTTATTTGTGTGCTTGTCTTGTGAGCACCATCTGCTTAATAGGTCACAAGCTTGCTGAGGACAGAATCTGAATCTCATTTGTTGCTCTAATCCCTACAGTGTTTAGGAAAAGATATACATAATAAATATTTAGTAAGTTAGAGTAACTAGAATCTTCTGGTGGAAGGAGTGTTTCTTGTTGGAGTAGTTAAAACACTTAGCTTTTGACTAACAGTTTAATTTGGAGAGTTACTATTTAGAATATCCCTTTGAGCTTTCGATTTACGTGATAAGATTGCATTAACTGAGCAACAATTTGAAAAATGTGTTTACAAACTGGTTTGCTTGTAAAGATCAGGGTTAAAATGAAGGGGTAAAGTGATTGGTGATGATTAGGGAATACTTTCAAAGAGGATCTTAAGTGATGATGAAAGAGATCCCAGATATAGGAGTAATCCCTGTACATCAGCAGTAGGGACGAAGACAAAAATCAAGGCCACTAATATTTTTCATAAATTTCAACAGAAAATCTCTTTATTTGTACTTTACTTAAATCTTTCACTTGAAGCTCTTAGATTTTAAACTCAAAAAATCCAATATATTTTTTAAAAAATCTTTCTTTATTGTGAATTTCCCAAATTTCCTTTTGTTATTGATTTCCATTTCATTCTATTGTGGTCAGAAGACATACCTTGTGTGATTTCAATCCTTCTAAATTTATTGAGACTTGTTGTATGGCCTAACGTATGGCTTATCCTGGAGAATGTTCTGTGTGCACTTGAGAAGAATGCATATTCTGCTGTTGTTGAGTGGAGTGTTCCACAGATGTCTGTTGGTTTGCAGTGTTGTTCAATTTTTTTATTTCCTTGTGGATCTTCTGTCTAGTTCTATCCATTATTGAAAGTAGAGTATGGAACTTTCTAATTATTATCGTTAAATTGTTTACTTTTCCTTTCAACTCTGTTAGCTTTCGCTTTACATATTCTGGGAGCTCTAATGTTAGGTGTATATGTGTTTATAATTGTTATCTATTCTTGATGGAGTGACTCTTGTCATTTTATAGTATTTTTCTTTGTTTCTAGTAACAATTTTTTTAAAAAATTTATTTCGTCTGATATTAGTGTAGTCACTCTACTTCTCTTTCGGTTACTGTTTGCATGGTCTATTTTCTTCTATTCTTTTGCTTTCAAACTGTGTCTTTTAATCTAAAGTATGTTTTATAGACAACAAATAGGCAGTCTTTTAAAATCTATTCTGCCACTCTCTGCCTTTTAATTGGAGTGTTTAATCTACTTATATTTAATGTAATTACTGACAACATAGTATTTACATCTGTCATTTTGCCATTTGTTTTTGGTATGTCTTAGGACCTTTTGTATTCATCTATTCCTCCATCATTGTCCCCTTTTTTGTCAAGTATTTTCTAGTGTATCATTTTAATTATTTTTTTTATTAAGACAATTTTTTTAGATCAGTTTTAGGTTAACAGCGAAATTGAGCAGAATGTACAGAGATTTCTCATATACTACCTACTCCTAAATATGCACGTCTTCCCTGTATCAAAATCCCACAATGTCTTTTCATGGTATGATAGCTTATTTCTTTTTAGTGCTAAATAATATTTCAGTGTCTAGATGTACCACAGTCTATTCAGCCGTTCACCTACTAAAGAACAACTTGGCTGCTTCCAAGCTCTGGCAATTATAAAAACAGCTGCTATAGACATCCATGTTCAGGTGTTTGTGTGAATATAAGTTTTCAACTTGTTTGGGTAAATACCAAGGAACATGATTGCTGGACCATAAGATAAGAGTATGTTTAGTTTAAAGAAACCGCCAAACTGTCTTTCAAAATGGTGTATCATTTTGCATTCCTACCAGCATTGAATGAGAGTTCCTGCTGTTCCACATCCTCAGCAGAATTTTATGTTGTCAGTGTTTTGGATTTTGGTTATTCTACTACGTATACACCTATGGTATCTCACTGTTTTAATTCTCAGATCTTTAATGACGTATGATGTCGAACATCTGTTCATATGCTTATTTGCCATCTGTATATCCTCCTGGGTGAGATGGCTGTTCCGATCTTTTCCCAATTTTTAATCAGGTTCTTTTCTTATTTTTGAGTTTTAAGAGTTCTTTGTATATTACGGATACAAATCTTTTATCAGATAATTCTTTTGAAATATTTTCTCCCAGTCTGTGGCTTGTCTTCTTACTCTCTTGGCACAATTATTCACAGAGCACAATTTTCTGCTTTTAACTCGAGTCTGGCTTATCAATTATTTCTTTCATAGATTGTGTCTTTGGTGTCCTGTCCAAAACGTCATCATTAAACCTAAGGTCACCTAGATTTTCTCCTATGTTCTCTTTTAGGAGTTTTATAGTTCTGCATTTTACATTTAAGTCTATGGTCCATTATGAGTTAGTTTTTGTGAAAGGTGTAAAGTCTGTGTCTGGATGTCCAATTGTTCTAGAACCATTTGTTGAAAACACTACATTTTCTCCATTGTATTGCCTTTATTCCTTGGTCAAAGATCAGTTGACTATATTTATATGTGTTTATTTCTGAGCTCTCCATTCTGTTCCATTGATCTATTTGTTTATTCTTTCACCAGTACCACATGGTCTTGATAACTGTAGCTTTATAGTAAGTTTTGATGTCAGATGGTGTCAGTTCTCTCCTTGTTGAACTACCTTTCATAATGTGATAAATCCCACTTGCTTGTGCCATAAATTTCTTTTTATATATTATTAGATTCAATTTTCTAATTATTTCTGGAAGATTTTTGCATCTGTGTTCATGAGAGATATTGAGCTGTAGTTTTTTTTCTTGTAATATCTTTGCCTGGTTTTGGTATTAAAGTAAGACTGATCTCATAAAATGAGTGAAGAAGTATTGCCTATCCTCTATCTTCTGAAAGATGTTGTAGAGAATTGGTACAATTTCTCCTTAAATGTTTGGTAGAATTCACCAGTGAACCCTTCTGGGCCTCGTCCTTTCTATTTTACGAAGTTATTAATTATTTATTCAATTTCATGAATAGATATAGACTATGCAAATTGTCTATTTCTTCTTGTGTGAGTTTTGGCAGATTGTGTCTTCCAAGAAATTCGTCCATTTCTTGTAGGTTATCAAACTTGGAGTATAGAGTTGTTCATAATATTATGTTATTATCCTTTTGATAAGTGATGTCTCCTCTTTCATTTATGATTTTAGTAATTTCTCTTTT